GGGATCACTTTGGCCTTTACTTTCCACATCCTCTCTAGTTCCTCCTTCAGGCCTTGGTACTTCTCTTGGTACTTGTTATGTCTGTCTATCTATGTATCAAGAAGGAAGAGTCTAAAGATTAACAAACCCTGGTTTCCAGCTTTATGTCATGCTAAAATAAAACAGCCCTTAATTAACCAACACCGTATGGAATTTTCAGCAATCTCACCTGAAAGAATAATAAGCAGTAGTGTGTTTCAATAAAACAGTTGCTCCTTTGCAACTTCTTCAGATCAGACCAATTACAGATTTACCTAGATGAAGGACAAATCAGAAACTGACTTTTCAGAATTTCAGTGACATCTTCCAATTAGACATTAGTTCTGTTACAAATACAAGAGCTCAATCACTAGGTATAAGATGATATTTGTAATGTAACTGTCATGATATTTGTAACTTTCATTGGCAATTCTCATCTTAAACGTAACCCAAACTACAAAGCATATGGCAACAACACTTGGCTTCATTTTTGTAGGGTTCTGCCTTTTTAGCCTTGTGAGTTCTGGAAAACATTAAAACTTGCACAATATTTTTAACATTCTGATTGGGTAATAATAGCTGTTTATTTCTGATTGTTCAGAGATAGGGTGGCAGAGGGTGGTGGAAGCCAGAAAAGAGAGAAGAAACAAGCCAGAATACATATTAAACTAATATTTTTATTAGGCCAATTGAAGTTTTACAAAATATTGTGAAATCTTTGGGTTTTCCAGAACTCTTATTCAGCCACAATGGTTTAAAAGTAGGGGGGAAGGAGGAGGAAACAAAGCAGCCTTTTATAAAGGAGGCAGACTTAAATTTAACTGGTAGACAGCTTGGTAATTGTTTTCGAGGGGGCTTTGTAGAGAAAGGTGGGAGGACTCAGTCTGATAGAAAATAAACTAATATGGTTATTATTCACAACCAAAGGATTTACATTATTTTCCTAAAATGATTTAAGAGCATTCTTGCAGAATAGGTAAACTGACTTCTTATTGGTGCTCTTTTTTTTTTAGATGAATCTGCTAATCAGTCGTTGTACTCTTTTTATAATTTATGCATCACTCTTCAGCCTGAAAATGGTTTACAGAAC